AGTAGTAGCAGTAGTAGTAGCAGTAGCAGTAGTAGCAGTAGTAGCAGTAGTAGTAGTAGTAGTAGCAGTAGTAGTAGCAGTAGTAGTAGTAGTAGTAGTAGTAGTAGTAGTAGTAGTAGTAGCAGCAGTAGTAGTAGTAGTAGTAGTAGTAGTAGCAGTAGTAGTAGCAGTAGTAGCAGTAGTAGTAGTAGTAGTAGTAGTAGTAGCTATTGGTGTAGACTTGTGACTAATAATAAATGAAAGTATTTTCCTCACGTTGGTTCAGAACGATCTGCTCCAGTTCCTCTTTGGACTTTTGACTTTTATTCAGAACCTGCTCCTGGTCCCACAGTCTCTGACGGAGAAGCTTCAGCTGCTCCAGGAGGACTCCCACCTGAGAGACGTTTCAGTAAAGACGTTTCAGTGAGACGTTTCAGTGAGACGTGTTTCAGTGAGACGTGTTTCAGTGAGACGTGTTTCAGTGAGACGTGTTTCAGTGAGACGTGTTTCAGTGAGACGTGTTTCAGTGAGACGTTTCAGTGAGACGTGTTTCAGTGAGACGTGTTTCAGTGAGACGTGTTTCAGTGAGACGTGTTTCAGTAAGACGTTTCAGTGAGACGTGTTTCAGTGAGACGTGTTTCAGTGAGACGTGTTTCAGTGAGACGTTTCAGTGAGACGTTTCAGTGAGACGTGTTTCAGTGAGACGTGTTTCAGTGAGACGTGTTTCAGTGAGACGTGTTTCAGTGAGACGTGTTTCAGTGAGACGTGTTTCAGTGAGACGTGTTTCAGTGAGACGTGTTTCAGTGAGACGTGTTTCAGTGAGACGTTTCAGTGAGACGTGTTTCAGTGAGACGTTTCAGTGAGACGTGTTTCAGTGAGACGTGTTTCAGTGAGACGTTTCAGTGAGACGTGTTTCAGTGAGACGTGTTTCAGTGAGACGTGTTTCAGTGAGACGTGTTTCAGTGAGACGTGTTTCAGTGAGACGTGTTTCAGTGAGACGTGTTTCAGTGAGACGTGTTTCAGTGAGACGTTTCAGTGAGACGTGTTTCAGTGAGACGTGTTTCAGTGAGACGTGTTTCAGTGAGACGTGTTTCAGTGAGACGTGTTTCAGTGAGACGGGTATTAGTATTAGATAGCAATATGGCCTACGTGCAGGACTGTACAAGGACTCTACAAGGACTCCATGTTATGACTATGATTTGACTGTCTCTTTGTGACACGTATGTCTTTCGATGTGTGACGTGACAATGACTATAGTAAACTGTGTACTGCCTTTATTCTGTCTGAGGAAAAGAAACAGACTCCCCTTGGTTCTGGGACCTGTCATTGCTCTTTTTCAAGACAAATTTCATGCGCTCTCTCCCGGGGAGAAATGCGCCCACCCTTATTCTTTGAGAATATGTGTGCACTTGTTTTCAACTCCTGGTGGGTTCCATAACCTGAGATTCCACTCACGTCATGGGGACTGGTTTTACGTGGTGGGGCCCGAACACCGGACCCCACTGGTCCAAGCTTAATAATCAATGGGTAATGCTTTTCTAACGGTCCTTATGCAGTCTCTGTAAAAATATGGAAAGGACCCCTGGAGGTTTACTTTCCTGAAAAAAGTGTGTTATGTGTCGGAACCCTGGTGGTGGGTTGCGGGATATCAAGGAGGGGCACACTGGGGCAATTTCAGTCCAGCAGGCTGGAGCCAATCATGGAGCAGCACAACAGAGGAAATCAGGTGTCAGGCTAGAAAAAGGTGCAAGTGTGTGGTTCATTAGGCTGCAAGAAATCATGGAGGAGCACACTGAAGCGCACGCTTACAAACCACTGGTAAGTGCTGACTACAAGTCATGACTTCAAATTGTTATATAGAATGATTACAAATTATTTGTTGTTTGTGCAGCTTAGTCAAGAGTCCCTAATTGATGAAGTCGACTCAGATTCTGACGATTTAACTGTCAAGAAGAAACCTGTAAAAAAGTATGGAAAAAAGAAAAATCAAAAACACTTTTCTTCAAGACTCGGAAAAGTGGGACGAACCAAAGGCAAATAAGATTGTTATCATGCAGCTGCAAAAGAAGCAAAAAACTTCTGCCTCTACTGTTCAATGTACCTGCCACAAAATGTCCCGTTCATATGACTCATGGAAATGAAAGTGACGTAGCCAGAGCATTGGCTCTACCTGTGAAATCTAAAGCACGTAAACTTCAGTTTGATTTGTCAAGCACAATTTGAGTTTTAAAGGCCGGCATTGGAACTTTAGTGTAAACAGCCAAAAGTTAAAATCCAGTGAGTTTTTGCACTGTATAGACTGTGGGGCATTGCTTAAGCGAAAGTCGCTGTGGAGGCATGTGGCCAGGTGCCGGCTTTCACAGAAAGATGCCCAGGCTAAAAAGGTAGAAAGTAGGGTCCTGTCCCTCTGCTCCCTAGCCAAGCCTGTACCGGAGGGCTATCAGCAAAAAGCTGTGGTCTTTAATTTCGGCAATGCATCAGGATGAGGTCACGGGTGTTGTCAAAGCAGAAAAGGGGATTCAGACTCGGAGAGCACCTGTACTTAAAACACGGGCATGATAAGAGCATGATTACATTAGGCAGAAAATGAGAGAAGTCTAACGAAGCAAAAACCGCAGGGAAACTGAAAACAATTAAGGATTTCTTTATTCCTTCCAACTTTAACCATGTGATTGATGCAGTCAGGTCTGTGGCGGAGACTCCATCCTTGGCCCTCAAACTCGGCCATAGCCTCAGAAAGCTAGCAGATATTCTTGAATGTGACTCAAAAATGGAGCATTGTGTTGATGAACTATTTATTAAAAACCTCCAACGAAGCCGGCTGCTTTTTGAGAAGAGGTGGGACGTCTGTGTTTCTTCTGCTGCCCTACAGACCCTCCGGCAAGCCAAGTGGAACACTCCGGACCTGCTCCCTCTGACTGAGGACGTTAGAGCCATGCATGCACATATTGAGGTATGTCGACCTGAATATGTGCAAACCCTAATAAGTGAGCCAACGTCTAAGCATTGGTCTAAACTGGCAGTTTTGACTCTTTGTGAGGTCATCATTTTCAATCGAAGAAGGGAAGGTGAGGTTTCAAAGATGCCACTGACAGCCTTTACCTTAAGAAGTAAGACTGGGATCCATTCTGACATTGCTCTGGGACTGTCCCAACTTGAGAAAAAGCTGTGTCAGCATTTTCAACGCATTGAAATTAAAGGGAAAAGAAGTCGGAAAGTGCCGGTTCTTTTGACTCCTGAAATGATTGCTTCGATGGAGGTGCTGGTGGAGAACAGAAGGGCCTGTTCCATCTCTGACCATAACCCATACTTCTTTTCCCGCCCGGGCGCAGACACCCACATCAGGGGATCAGACTCCCTACGCCAGGTAGCCAAAGAATGTGGTGCGGTGCATCCAGAGATGCTATCCTCAACCAAACTTAGAAAGCACATAGCTACTATGTCTACAGTTCTCAATATGAAAGAGAATGAGATGGACATACTTGCCAACTTCCTCGGCCATGACATTCGCATCCACAGGCAATATTACAGACTACCAGAGGGGACACTGGAGCTGGCCAAAATCAGCAAAGTGTTGATGGCCATGGAGCAGGGAAGAGTGACGGAATTCGAAGGAAAGAGCCTCGACCAGATACAAATTGAGCCTGAAGGTAATTCTTGATATTATTAAAATATGTATGATTTTTTTCCCCTAAAGGCCACTTGTATTTTTATTTTCTGTGCGACAGGGAGAGCAGTAGAGATCCTCTCACAAACGGACGGGCTAAAAGAAACTTCAAGCGGAGAACCTTCAACCATTCATCCAGATGCACCCCATGGTAGTGGCAGTGCCCCTTCTGGTAAGTGTACCAGGTGGGGGATTACAGCCAGGCTGCTTGGTCCTCACCCTGGGAGTGTATATTGCTAATATATTTTTATTTCTCTCCCTAGAACGTGTAAGAAAGCCATGGTCTGCATCTGAGGTGAAGGCTGTGGAGAAGACCATGACACCTTTCATACAGACTGGAAAGGTCCCTGGGAAGTCTCACTGCCTGGCCTGCATTAATGCCTCACCAGATGACCTTAGACATCGGACATGGAGTGGCATTAAATTCTATGTCAAAAATAGAATCACTGCAATTCGAAAACAAAATCTAAAATAAAATTCAGTATATAAATGATTATGGATATAGGTTCATATATAAATGATTATGGATATAGGTTCAGTATATAAATGATTATGGATATAGGGTCAGTATATAAATGATTATGGATATAGGTTCATATATAAATGATTATGGATATAGGTTCAGTATATAAATGATTATGGATATAGGTTCAGTATATAAATGATTATGGATATAAGTTCAGTATATAAATGATTATGGATATAGGTTCATATATAAATGATTATGGATATAGGTTCATATATAAATGATTATGGATATAGGTTCAGTATATAAATGATTATGGATATATGTTCATATATAAATGATTATGGATATATGTTCAGTATATAAATGATTATGGATATAGGTTCATATATAAATGATTATGGATATAGGTTCAGTATATAAATGATTATGGATATAGGTTCAGTATATAAATGATTATGGATATAGGTTCATATATAAATGATTATGGATATATGTTCAGTATATAAATGATTATGGATATAGGTTCATATATAAATGATTATGGATATAGGTTCAGTATATAAATGATTATGGATATAGGTTCATATATAAATTATTATGGATATAGGTTCAGAGCAACAACTGAGCATGAGCAGCTCCGAGCCTCAGCGCCGATGATTGACAGCCCTTGGCACGACTTGATTGGTTAACGTGGACGGCACCGTGGATTCTGAGCTATAGCTAAGAGAAGGGAAGGCGGGACTTGCCCGTAATATTAGAATTTATAAAATGACTTATTTTATATCAACATTTAAGGCCAGGAGGTCAATTTAACACATTTCCTAAAATGTGTAATTCATTTAGAGTTACAGACTATCACTTTAAAGCTCGTCTCTGTGTTTTTAGATGTTCGATGGAGACGTGGTGCCGCAGAAAATGGTGGACGGATGGAACGCCTTCTTCTGTGACGACCTGCTCCACCTGGTGTGTGTGTGTGTGTGTGTGTCGCTGTGTGTGTGTGTGTGTCTGTGTGTGTGTGTGTGTGTGTGTGTGTCGCTGTGTGTGTGTGTGTGTCTCTGTGTGTGTCGCTGTGTGGTGTGTGTGTGTGTTAGAGCCCTGCACTTGAGCCCTTAGCCCGAGGGCCCCGACGGCCCGACAGCCCGAGGGCCGGGCTTCGGGCCGATGACCGCATAATGACCTCGGACACAGGCCGGGCTCGGGCTCTTCATTTTCAGAGCGGCAGAATACATTTACGAACGCACCCACTGAATATAGCGTTCTATCACGCTGTAGTGTTTGTTGTTCTGTGTAGTGTTGTCATTGACGGCACATAGCATTACTTATGTAATGTGCAGATGTGTTGCAGCATCGGGGGCATCATACAGATGCGGCCGTTCACTCTGCACCACTCCGCACACACAGAACTCATTGCAACACATCACTACCATGTATAACTCCGCCCTCTAGCTAAGTCTGCGTTCATATCAGTGCGCGGCACTATATACTACGCTAAAACATTGTTATGGGAGGTTACAAAAAAAAATAAAGGCGGGCTTGATGCGGGTTTCGGGCCTGAAAATTCAGAAACCATATCGGGCCGGGCCGGGCTGGGGCGCCACCCCCTCGGGCCAGGGCCGGGCTCGGGCCCAGATAATAGGCCCGTGCAGGGCTCTAGTGTGTGTGTCTGTGTGTGTGTGTCGCTGTGTGTGTGTGTCGCTGTGTGTGTGTGTGTGTGTGTGTCTCTGTGTGGTGTGTGTGTGTGTGTCTCTGTGTGGTGTGTGTGTGTGTGTGTCTGTGTGTGTGTGTCTGTGTGTGTGTGTCTGTGTGTGTGTGTCTGTGTGTGTCTGTGTCTGTGTGTGTGTGTCGCTGTGTGTGTGTGTCGCTGTGTGTGTGTGTCTGTGTGTGTGTGTGTGTCTCTGTGTGGTGTGTGTGTGTGTTTGTGTGTGTGTGTGTGTGTCGCTGTGTGTGTGTGTGTGTCTCTGTGTGGTGTGTGTGTGTGTGTGTGTGTGTGTGTGTCGCTGTGTGTGTGTCTCTGTGTGGTGTGTGTGTGTCTGTGTGTGTGTGTCGCTGTGTGTGTATGTGTGTCTCTGTGTGGTGTGTGTGTCGCTGTGTGTGTGTGTGTGTCGCTGTGTGTGTGTGTGTGTCTCTGTGTGGTGTGTGTGTCTGTGTGTGTCGCTGTGTGTGTGTGTGTGTGTGTGTCGCTGTGTGTGTGTCGCTGTGTGTGTGTGTGTGTCTCTGTGTGGTGTGTGTGTCGCTGTGTGTGTCTGTGTCGCTGTGTGTGTGTGTTGCTGTGTGTGTGTGGGTGTGTGTCGCTGTGTGTGTGTGTGTCTCTGTGTGTGTGTGTGTCGTTTGTGTGTGTGTGTCGCTGTGTGTGTGTGTGTGTTGCTGTGTGTGTGTGTGTGTCGCTGTGTGTGTGTGTGTCAATGTGTGTGTGTGTGTGTGTCTCTGTGTGTGTGTGTGTGTGTCTCTGTGTGTGTGTGTGTGTGTGTGTCGCTGTGTGTGTGTGTCTCTGTGTGTGTGAGTGTCGCTGTGTGTGTGTGTGTGTGAGTGTCGCTGTGTGTGTGTGTGAGTGTCGCTGTGTGTGTGTGTGTGTCTCTGTGTGTGTGTGTGTGTGAGTGTCGCTGTGTGTGTGTGTCTCTGTGTGTGTGTGTGTCGCTCTTCTCTCTCTTTTTATCTCTCTCTCTGTCTCTGTGTCTCTCTCTCTCTCTGTCTCTGTGTCTCTCTCTCTGTCTCTGTGTCTCTCTCTCTGTCTCTGTGTCTCTCTCTCTGTCTCTGTGTCTCTCTCTCTGTCTCTGTGTCTCTCTCTCTCTGTCTCTGTGTCTCTCTCTCTCTCTGTCTCTGTGTCTCTCTCTCTGTCTCTGTGTCTCTCTCTCTGTCTCTGTGTCTCTCTCTCTGTCTCTGTGTCTCTCTCTCTCTGTCTCTGTGTCTCTCTCTCTCTGTCTCTGTGTCTCTCTCTCTCTCTGTCTCTGTGTCTCTCTCTCTGTCTCTCTCTCTCTGTCTCTGTGTCTCTCTCTCTGTCTCTGTGTCTCTCTCTCTGTCTCTCTCTCTCTGTCTCTGTGTCTCTCTCTCTCTCTGTCTCTGTGTCTCTCTCTCTGTCTCTGTCTCTCTCTCTCTCTCTCTCCCTGTCTTTCTCTCTGTCCCTCTCTCCCTCAGTCTCTGTCTGTCTCTGTGGTCTGGTCTAGTCCAGTTAGGCCCTGCTTGCTCTGTCTTCACGCCTGTGGTTCTGTGGTTCTGTGGTTCCAGCGGCAGCGCCTGCAGCCGGGGAACAGTGAGTCCGTGGGGCAGCTGTGGCTCGGTCTGCTCCGGTTCTACACCGAGGAGTTCGACTTCAAAGAAAACGTCATCAGCATCAGACAAAAGAAACCTCTCACTACCTTCGAGAAGCAGTGGACCAGCAAGTGCATCGCTATAGAGGGTAAGACCCGGACCCGGACCCAGACCAGGACCAGGACCCAGACCTGGACCCAGCAAGTGCATCGCTATAGAGGGTAAGACCCAGACCCGGACCCAGACCAGGACCAGGACCCAGACCTGGACCCAGCAAGTGCATCGCTATAGAGGGTAAGACCCGGACCCGGACCCAGACCAGGACCAGGACCCAGACCTGGACCCAGCAAGTGCATCGCTATAGAGGGTAAGACCCAGACCCGGACCCAGACCAGGACCAGGACCCAGACCTGGACCCAGCAAGTGCATCGCTATAGAAGGTAAGACCCAGACCAGGACCCAGACCAAGACAAAGACCCAGACCTGGACCCAGCAAGTGCATCGCTATAGAGGGTAAGACCCAGACCAGGACCCAGACCCGGACCAGGACCCAGACCAGGACCCAGACCCAGACCAAGACCTGGACCCAGCAAGTGCATCGCTATAGAGGGTAAGACCCGGACCAGGACCAAGACCCAGACCAAGACCCAGACCAAGACCCAGACCAAGACCCAAACCAAGACCCAGACCAAGACCCAGACCAAGACCCAGACCAAGACCCAGACCAAGACCCAGACCAAGACCCAGACCAAGACCCAGACCAAGACCCAGACCAAGACCCAGACCAAGACCCAGACCAAGACCCAAACCAAGACCCAGACCAAGACCCAGACCAAGACCCAGACCAAGACCATGACCCAGCAAGTGCATCGCTATAGAGGGTTAGACCCAGACCCAGACAAGACCCAGACCAAGACCCAGCAAGTGCATCGCTATAGAAGGTTAGACCCAGACCTGGACCAAAACCCAGACCTGGACCCGGACCCAGAAAGTGCATTGCTATAGAAGGTGACCCGGATCCAGACCTGGACCTGGACCCAGACCCAGACCTAGACCAAGTCTTAGTGCATCACTATTAGGGATGTAACGAATCCAGGTTTTTGGGGTTCGGCCGAATACCGAATCCACTGGTTAAAGACCTTATGACGGGTTTTAAAAAAAAAAAAAGTGGATATCAAAATTGCATGACAATATCAATTTGAAAGAGATTCCGGCAAAAAAAATACTATATTTTATAAAAAGAACGTGTTTTTCATGAATATAAGCTGTCTATGCTCTAACCTGTGTGTGACGTCACAGCGGGTTACGCCCATGCATTGAAAACCATGGATCTATGCCACAGGACTGCCTTTTCTCTCTTCTCTCCACTGATGCCCAACACAATACTGCCCTCTACAGGTGACAATTGCTCACTACACATAAATTGCCGTTTTGAGAAAAAGTGTCCGAGGTGGGATTTGAACCCAAGTATCTGGATTGGCAGTCCATCGACACAACCACTGGACTATCTCAGTGACAACAAAATGTTACATTCTAGTATTTATGTCAGACTTGCTGTACACGGCCTTGTCATCTTGAATATCCGCGAAAAAAGAACGAATACCAAATTGTAAACAACTTACAGCGTTGAAACGTACCCGTTCTGACGTCACCAAGGGCTGTGAAGTTTTTTTGTTTCTAAGGGCGTTGCTATGGGGTTATTTTGATTTGGGGGGATCAGACAAAAAAAACAACAACTGATTTTGAAACCTTTAGTAGTTCTCTTCTAATATAAAATGGTATTAAAACTGTATTTCTAAATAAATCAAACCCGTCATAAGGTCTTTAAGATTCTGCCGAACCTGAACCCGAATACCGAACCCTACTCCATCCTCAGTCCGTTGATGTTTCATATGCAAATGTTTTAACAGCGGCGGTGTTGTGTACTGTTTAGGGTCCTTACCACCACGAGACAAATCGGCATTGCAAATTAAAGATGTAGCTTGACCAGAATCTATTATAATAACATTTATAATAATCCCGTTTATCATTAAACACAAATACATTCAGTTCACAGCAGTGTAAAACTTCAGAGATAAAGTACATATATTACTGTGCATGTCATGTAGAAATAAGAGCTAAAGCACCATACATGCATAAATAGCTTCCACTGGTTCAGGTCAAAACATTACATATATGGACATTTGAGAAATATGCCAAACTCGTCAGAGACAAGTTGGAGAGAAGCTAATGCTAAGAGGCTAGTTGCCTAAACATGGACTCACCAACTCTGCTTCATACGCAGCTCAGATGACAAGTACCTGGCACTGGTAATCACCTCCATAAAGTCGGTGAATAGGCAGTTAGTTTATGATCCATCAGAACCGCATTACAGGTGAAAACAAGAATCATAACATCCCCTCGCTCCGGCGTATAACTAGAGCTAATTGGTCCGCGGGGATCACATGACCAGGAAGAGACCTCAGCACCCAAAGAGGAACAGGGAGCAAGAGGATATAAACCTCCGCTAAAGTGCATGTTTATTGACACTTCCGAACGAATCTGATTTCCGTGACAAATCCAACAGCCACAGCGCGCATAGTGTAAGTGCAGGGTTCGGGTTTGGTGGGGAAAAATTCTAAGGTTTGGCCAGAAACCGAACCCCGTCAAAAAAGCCAATATTCGGCCGAATCCAAACCCGAATCCTGGATTCGGTACATCCCTAATCACTATATATTGTGACCCAGACCCAGACCAAGACCCAGACCAAGACCCAGCAGGTGCATCGCTATAGAAGGTGACCCGGAGCTGGACCCAGACCCAGACCCGGACCCAGACCTGGACCAAGTCTTAGTGCATCACTATATATTGTGACCCAGACCCAGCAAGTGCATCGCAATAGAAGGTGACCTAGACCTGGACCTTGACCTAGACCTGGACCTAGACCCAGACCTAGTCCCAGACCTGAACACAGACCTAGACCCAGACCTAGTCCCAGACCTGAACACAGACCTAGACCCAGACCTAGTCCCAGACCTGAACACAGACCTAGACCCAGACCTAGTCCCAGACCTGAACACAGACCTAGACCCAGACCTAGTCCCAGACCTGAACACAGACCTAGACCCAGACCTAGTCCCAGACCTGAACACAGACCTAGACCCAGACCTAGTCCCAGACCTGAACACAGACCTAGACCCAGACCTAGTCCCAGACCTGAACACAGACCTAGACCCAGACCTAGTCCCAGACCTGAACACAGACCTAGACCCAGACCTAGTCCCAGACCTGAACACAGACCTAGACCCAGACCTAGTCCCAGACCTGAACACAGACCTAGACCCAGACCTAGTCCCAGACCTGAACACAGACCTAGACGCAGGCCAATTCAGAAAGTGTTTCTCACTGTTTTGTTTGGTTTCAGATCCGTTCGACCTGAACCACAACCTCGGAGCCGGAGTTTCTCGCAAAAGTAAGCGACACAGACGTCTTTGAGAAATATTCGGTGGTTTGAGCAGAGCGTCAAAGGTCAGAGGTGATGTTTCTGAACCCTGTCCAGGAAGTTAGATACAGCTCAGATCTGTGCAGAGGAGAGTTTCATGCTATTGCAATGCTAATTGATCCTCACTGATGCTAACTGATGCTAGCGGTTGCTAAATGATGCTAGCTGATGCTGTTCTGGTCTGTGCTTCTGCAGTGACAAACTTCATCATGAAAGCGTTCATAAACGGCAGGAAGTTGTTCGGAACGCCGTTCTTCCCTCCGCTGGGATCTGAAGTGGTGAGAGGCTCCTCCCCCTGTCCCTGGCTCCTCCCCCTGCCTATAGCTCCTTCCTTTGGCTCCTCCTCCTCCCTTTGGTTCAGTCTGGTTCAGTCCGGTTCTCTTTCCAGGATTACTTCTTTGACTCCAAAGTTCTGACGGACGGAGAGCTGGCGCCAAACGACCGCTGCTGCAGAATCTGCGGCAAAATCGGTCACTACATGAAGGACTGTCCCAAGAGACGCCGGTAACTTCCCCTTTAATATCTCCATCCTCCACCTTTCAGCTGCTCAGACTCCTGGGACCCAACCTTTCAGCTGCTCTGTTTCAGGGTGAAGAGAAAAGACGGCGAGTTTGTGGACGACTCACGAGATGAAGAGCGACGCTGCTTTCAGTGCGGAGACACGAGACACGTGAGGAGAGACTGCCCCCAATATAAGCTCCTGAAGAGGACCACGCCTCCAGGTTAGACCACGCCCCCAGTTTAGACCACGCCCCCAGTTTAGATCATGCCTCCAGGTTCGACCACGCCCCCAGGTTAGACCACGCCCCCAGGCTTGACCACGCCCCCAGGTTAGACCACGCCCCCACGAGCAGCCTACTTTCTGAAAATGAAAGTCTCAAATGTTGTGAATAAAGTTTTAAATAGAGTAAATAAAAATGAGTAATGAATAGTTTCAATGCGGTGAACCCTGACCTTGGACCCCCGACCTGGTCTGTGCCGACAGGAGGAGGACACCCGGCCCAGAGGAGTCACCCGCAAAACCCCCTGAACCCAGACGGACGGACTAGACACAACTCTGAGTCTGTGAGTGAAACCTGTGACCGGAGACCAGAGAGAGAGACCAGAGAGAGGGACCAGAGAGAGAGACCAGAGAGAGAGACCAGAGAGAGAGACCAGAGAGAGAGACCAGAGAGAGAGACCAGAGAGAGACCAGAGAGAGACCAGAGAGAGACCAGAGAGAGACCAGAGAGAGACCAGAGAGAGACCAGAGAGAGACCAGAGAGAGGGACCAGAGAGAGAGACCAGAGAGAGAGACCAGAGAGAGAGACCAGAGAGAGAGACCAGAGAGAGAGACCAGAGTGAGAGACCAGAGAGAGAGACCAGAGAGACCAGAGAGAGAGAGAGAAGAGAGAAAGAGACCAGAGAGAAACCAGAGAGGGAGACCAGAAATAAAGAGATCTAGAGAGAGAGATCAGAAAGATAGCAGAGAGAAAGACCAGGGAGAGAGAGCAGAGAGAGACCATCAACCCTAAGACTATGTCGTCTTTTCTGTTTCAGTCGGACAGTCGTCAGGCCCCGCCCCCTCTGGCTCTAAGCTCCTCCCCTCAGTCGTTCAAATCCCCGCCCCTCCAGCAGGTGTCGCTGTTGGGTTTCCCTCCGCAGTGGAACGACCCGAGTATCATCTACGCACAAGCTAAAGCAGGTAACACAACTACACACAGATACACATGACTACACACTAGGGATGTAAATCGGTGACCGTTTAACCGGTGGTTGACCGTCACAGCGTTAACCGGTCAAAGCTGTCGGTTAAAAAAAAGAAAAGGGGAGGTGAGGTCTCTTAATAACGCTATTTTAACCCTATATGCCCGCGTGCATCGGCGCCGATGCATGCGCACATGTTTTACAAATGATCAATTTACTTGCGAACGGTAAAACGTAGCAACTTACTTTTTTTTCCTCTGTGAAGTACGTATTCAGGGCTTTCCGAAACTTTGATTTGTCTGTGCGATGCACGGAGGATAAACTACGTTTGTCTGAAAGTCCGTGTCCAAAGCGTGACCCGTGAGGTACAAACAGCTGTGAGATACAAACACACGGGGACTGCCAAAGATCGTCAGAGAGTGAGATGTCTCACTCCTCTGCGTTTACTTGTTGTCCCACAGTTGGAACTACAGCTGCGATTGCAATAACCGGCTGAAGAGTGCGCATTATTGATAAAGACGATAATAAATACAGTAAAATGACATTATGTGTATATGATGTATATAAATATGTATTATATAAATAATTGATGTTTTTTTTTTTTTTTGTCTCAGTTTCTTATGTTTTACGTTTTTTACAGCTGTGCTACAGAAGCAACCCCAGCATTATAGACAAACTGCTTCAGGAAGGGCATCAGGATTACAGAGTTTTTTGCTTTTATAGTGGAATTTTGTAAAAAGTATAATAGTTAGAGATTAAATTTTTTTCCCCATTATCCCCAAGACCATAAATAACATTTCTATGCAGTGTAAAAAGTTGTTTATAGCATTTCATTGTGTTTTTTTAAATACATTTTTGTTAAATTGATTTTCCGTTTGATTTTTTTCTTTGTCTTCATGATTCCATAATTTTTATATAATTCATATGACAGCTTTACAATATGAATATTCTAAAACCCCAGGTTGTACTGAAAAAAACAAAGTATACTACATGACTCTGCATCAAAAGATGACTGTTTTATGAACAATTATACACAAAGAAAACCAGGCGAGGAAAGTTCCCCAAAATGAACCATGTGCATAGAGGGTTAAGCCCTATTTGCGCGATGTGATGAGCGGGTCTGTCTCTAGCTGTCTGCGGCCAATGTAAAAGTAAACTCTAGGCCGACTCTCACGCCACACGCGCCACATATGCACGCACACATGCACGCACACACACACACACACACACACACTCGCACACACACTTTCCCCCTCCCCATACGTAACATCCACACGCATCATCTCTCCCCTCTGTTACCGTCAAAGTTGCACACTGGCGCGGGTCAGAACTACATTGGAGCTTACATTTACACACACACATATATACATGTATTGTACACACACACATACTGGTCTGTCGTGCTCCTCTGTGTCACGGAGCCCAAAGGATCCTCAAATACGCGGCTCCAGTCAAACCACATGGAACATGTTTGTGTTTATGGTCCTTGGCATTAGATCAGCTACACAAACATCACTTGTATTTAAACTTTAGCAAAGACCTGTGAGACGCGGCGTGTCACTCGCTGCTCTGACCATGTGGACGAGCCGTCGTTTGCTGCTAAAAGGTTTTGGTTTTAACCCGCAGCTCAGAAGAATGGGAAGATTAAAAAAGCAGTTCTTTGTGCGCAAAGGTGCTGAAGCTGTTGCGGGTTTTGGCGCCGCTGTCTCGGCTCTGATCCAGTAGAACACTCAGCTGCTCTTATGGAAAGTACGCAGCTCGAAATGGCTGTTATTTCAAAGAACGTGGACTATTTTAAACTACGCGGTTAACCGGTTTCAACAGGTTAATGAGGCTCGGTGGTCAGTCATGAACATTCATAGTTTTTTACATCCCTACTACACACAAGACTCAACTTTCACTTGGAAAATATTTCATGTGAAAGAAATATTCACATTAGTGCCACATGGATGTCTATAGCAACTCCAGACCTTTCAGATGTTCAGTACTGGTCTTCACTCCTGGTCTTCACTCTAGACCTTTCAGCTGTTCAGTAAAGGTCATTATTCCAAACCTTTCAGCTATTCAGTAGAGGTTCTCCAGAGATCTCAGCTGTTCAGTAGATGTTGTACCTCCAGACCTTTCAGCTGTTCAGTAGATGTCATGTCACTAGACCTTTCAGCTGCTCAGTGATGGTCTTGACTCCAGACCTTGAAGCTGTGCTGTAGATGTTGCACCTCCAGACCTTTCAGCTGCTCAGTGTCCTCTTGTCTCCCCAGACGCTGGACAGCTGCGTGGTCCGGCCGCTCGTCTCTGGGAGCATCACAAACACTTCGCTCCCTCCTGGAGATACCCGCTCCCTCATGGCTTCCACGGCACCGCAGGCTTCCACCAGCAAGGTACAACAGGGGCCAAACTGGGTCAAAAGAACAGGGGCCAAACTGGGTCAAAAGAACGTGGGCTAAATTGGTTCAAATGGAGAAAGGGCAGGCTCCTTTTGTGGCACCGGCACCTGCCACAGCTGATCAGTGGCATGTACACAACAAATGGCGTTTAAAACGGCATGTGGGGAATAAATGGCGTGTAAAGCGGCATGTGGGGAATAAATGGCGTGTAAAACGGCATGTGGACAACAAGTGGCGTTTAAAACGGCATGTGGGGAATAAATGGCGTGTAAAGCGGCATGTGGACAACAAGTGGCGTTTAAAACGGCATGTGGACAACAAGTGGCGTGTAAAGCGGCATGTGGACAACAAGTGGCGTTTAAAACGGCATGTGGACAACAAGTGGCGTGTAAAGCGGCATGTGGACAACAAGTGGCGTTTAAAACGGCATGTGGACAACAAGTGGCGTTTAAAACGGCATGTGGGGAATAAATGGCGTGTAAAGCGGCATGTGGACAACAAGTGGCGTTTAAAACGGCATGTGGGGAATAAATGGCGTGTAAAGCGGCATGTGGACAACAAGTGGCGTTAAAACGGCATGTGGGGAATAAATGGCGTGTAAAGCGGCATGTGGACAAGAAGTGGCGTTTAAAACGGCATGTGGACAACAAGTGGCATTTAAAACGGCATGTGGGGAACAAATGCCCTTTAAAACGGCATGTGGGCAATAAATGGCGTTTAAAACGGCATGTGGACAATAAATGGCATTTAAAACGGAATGTGGACAATAAATGGCGTTTAATATGGCATGTGGGCAATAAATGGCGTTTAAAACGGCATGTGGGGAATAAATGGCGTGTAAAACAAATACAGTTGAAAGCAGCCTGTACAAAAGACAACAAGCAGCATTGGTGGAGCTAGTGGTCCAGTGGCTCAGATGGAAAAGCACAGGTCTACGGTGTTGATGGTTGCTAGTTCAAATCCCCAGTGACCACCAATGACATTTGCTGATGTTGGGTCCTTGGGCATAACACTTCATGGAGAATGTCAGAAGTGCGATAAGTTGTTTGAATTATAATAAATTAAATTTAAAATTTATTGAAAGACTTGATTTCATGTATATATATATATGTATATGTATATTCCTGTGGCGCACTTGGTTTATAACTGTCTCTCATGCGGAAGATACCTGGTTCAATTCCAGGTCTGGTCTTTATTTTTTCGTCAGATTTAATACAAATTGAATTTTTATGAATATATTTCATACATATGGTTATGTGTTGTTCCAATAGTAATCTTGCATTAGGATTAATATTGCATCATCGTTAGGGTAAAACTAAATGATGTGTAAAACACTCAAGACACAATTTTACTTAAAACCACCTGGTGAGTGGTATAGCTGGTGTGTGTCTGCCAATCATGCAAGAGTTCGCAGATTCAAATCCAGCCAAGATCAAAAACTTTTTTATGACGGTTATTTCTTTATACATAAGATAAGATAAGATTTGCTTTATTTATCTCACATAGGAGAAATTTACATGTCACATTTGGCATGGATAGAGACACTCAGATTGTGCAAAAGGAGGAAATGTGCAAACATGTTACATGCAGGATATATGTACATGATGATATATATATCTATAAATATCTATATATATCTTTATATATATATACAGTTTTTATATAACTGCCATTAAAAAAATGCCAATCTGCCAATCTTACGCACTATAGACGAATGTTTAATGACTGCGCCACTTATTTTGTGTTTTGGCAAAGAAAAAAACGAAAGACTCTATTGTTGTTTTAGGACATTTCATCAAGAATGGAGCCAACCAAAGATGGTGAAGAGTTATGGATTGAAAAATACAAGCAGAAAGTTGTGTAATTGGAACATGAGGGTTCATCTCTATATTGTTAAAATCTTAATTTCTGTTCTTGGACAGTTTAAGCTGTGTCTTATACTTTGCAATCTTTTATAAAAAAAAAATATATGTATTAATGCAAAGGAAGGTTTCTCACCCATCATCTGTACTTCTTAGCAAGTTTTCCCGACGTTTCGTCCTCAACCTGGGGACTTCTTCAGGGAATGAATTCTCGCACCGCGCGTTGGAGATTTATAACCTATGGGTGTGGTAAGCCACACCCTAATCCTGATACTAACTCGTAAACAATCTCAGGTCTGCTTGATGTAGAAGGGAGCAGGTCTAACGACCCTGCTGAGGCTAACGACCCTAACTCCTTAGCATGTCACAGACCTATTGTCTGCTGGGATGCTCAAGTGGAGTGCAGGTCTCACCCTCCTAACTCATTAGCATGTCACTGACCTTGTCCCAAGTTAGGGCGTTGTTTTTAGGATGTCGTCATAGATGCGAGGCAAAACAAATCTTAACCCTCCTCCTCTGTTAAGAGAAGGTTTTTGTTTCCTCACAAAAATAGCTTCTTTCACCCTTCTCTCAAACCAATGTTATAAATCTCCAACGCGCGGTGCGAGAATTCATTCCCTGAAGAAGTCCCCAGGTTGAGGACGAAACGTCGGGAAAACTTGCTAAGAAGTACAGATGATGGGTGAGAAACCTTCCTTTGCTTTGACTAATCCCTGTACGACTGAGGGCTTACACAAACTTATATGTATTAATGCTCTTTCTTATTGTTCCATGTTTCTGATGTGGTTTTATTAAAGAAGAGAGAGAAATAAAATGATTTTTTCTTTTGTTTTATATATATATATATATATATATATATATATAATGTCATACATATTAAATTTGTATTTAATCTGACAAAGAAAAAATAATGACCTGTCCTGGATTTGAACCAGGTATCTTCAGCATGAGAGGCAGTTATAAACCAAGTGCGCCACGGGATGACATAGCTCATGTGGAATTTAAACTATATATAAAACATGAAATTAAGTCTTTCAACAAATGTATGCAATAACATATATTATTATTACTCAAACAACATTTTTCAAACAATGTATGGCATTTCTGACATTCTTCATGAAGTGTTAGGCCCAAGGACCCAACATCAGCAAATGTCATTGGTGGTCACTAGGGATTTGAACTAGCAACCATCAACACCGTAGACCCGTGCTTTTCCATCTGAGCCACTGGACCACTAGCTTCACTAATGCTGCTTGTTGTCTTTTGTACAGGCTGCTTTCAACTGTATTTGTTGCCCACATGCCGTTTTAAACGCCATTTATTCCTCACATGCCGTTGTAAACGCCATTTATTGCCCACATGCCGCTTTACACGCCATTTATTCCCCACATGCCGTTTTAAACGCCACTTGTTGTCCACATGCCGCTTTACACGCCATTCATTCCCCACATGCTGTTTTAAACGCCACTTGTTGTCCACATGCCGTTTTAAACACCATTTGTTGTCCACATGCCGCTTTACACGCCATTTATTCCCCACATGCCGTTTTAAACGCCACTTGTTGTCCACATGCCGCTTTACACGCCATTTATTCCCCACATGCCGTTTTAAACGCCACTTGTTGTCCACATGCCGCTTTACACGCCACTTGTTGTCCACATGCCGTTTTAAACGCCACTTGTTGTCCACATGCCGTTTTAAACGCCACTTGTTGTCCACATGCCGCTTTACACGCCACTTGTTGTCCACATGCCGTTTTAAACGCCACTTGTTGTCCACATGCCGCTTTACACGCCATTTATTCCCCACATGCCGTTTTAAACGCCATTTGTTGTCCACATGCCGTTTTAAACGCCATTTGTTGTCTACATGCCGTTTTAAACGCCATTTGTTGTCCACATGCCGTTGTAAATGCCATTTATTACCCACATGCCGCTTTACACGCCATTTATTCCCCACATGCCGTTTTAAACGCCACTTGTTGTCCACATGCCGCTTTACACGCCATTCATTCCCCACATGCCGTTTTAAACGCCACTTGTTGTCCACATGCCGTTTTACACGCCATTTATTCCCCACATGCCGTTTTAAACGCCACTTGTTGTCCACATGCCGCTTTACACGCCACTTGTTGTCCACATGCCGTTTTAAACGCCACTTGTTGTCCACATGCCGTTTTAAACGCCATTTGTTGTCCACATGCCGCTTTACACGCCATTTATTCCCCACATGCCGTTGTAAATGCCATTTATTGCCCACATGCCGCTTTACACGCCATTTATTCCCCACATGCCGTTTTAAACGCCACTTGTTGTCCACATGCCGCTTTACACGCCATTCATTCCCCACATGCCGTTTTAAACGCCACTTGTTGTCCACATGCCGCTTTACATGCCATTTATTCCCCACATGCCGTTTTAAACGCCACTTGTTGTCCACATGCCGTTTTAAACGCCACTTGTTGTCCACATGCCGTTTTAAACGCCACTTGTTGTCCACATGCCGTTTTAAACGCCTGCCCTTACTGTTCAAATGTCACTTTGTCTTTAGGCTCAGTGGCGCCCTCTGCAGACTCTGCCCCTCATGTATTCATTTGTCTGTTTACTTCCACAGACCAGAGAGTGAGAGACCAGAGAGTGAGAGACCAGAGAGTGAGAGACCAGAGAGTGAGAGACCAGAGAGTGAGAGACCAGAGAGTGAGAGACCAGAGAGTGAGAGACCAGAGAGTGAGAGACCAGAGTGAGAGACCAGAGTGAGAGACCATAGAGAGCCCCCAGAGACCAGAGAGAGCCCCCAGAGAGCAACCCCCCCCCCCCCCCCGTCCCTCAGTGCTGCCCTCTTCAGGGCACAGACATAATGACATGAACATGATTCTGAGATGGTGTGTTTTGCCGCAGGCTCAGTGCTGCCCCCTGCTGCCCTCCTGCCGCTGGTGCATCGACCGCTGAGTTTCCTGCAGCAGAAGAAGTGACGTCACAACATTTGAACTGTACAGTTTTTATCTGTTTTTATCAGTTTTTATCTTGCATCAGTTTTAACTCCACTCGCCCCAATCTTTACGGCCCCGTTATCTGGGGCTTTTACTTCATGTAAAAACTAAAAAAAGAGATTTGTAAATTTTTGTACATGTTTTATTTTTGCTGTTGGTCGAGAGTTTGATCCGAATAAAGTTTAGAAACAGCTGCAGTCGACTGTTTGTTTGTGTGTGTGTTGGTCTGTGTGTGTGTGTGTGTGTCAGTCTGTGTCTACGTCAGTGTGTGTATGTGTGTGTCAGTGTGTGTCGGTGTGTGTCTGTGTCTACGTCAGTGTGTGTATGTGTGTGTCTACGCCAGTGTGTGTGTACAGTATGTGTCATGATTATAGCACTCACAAGCCGCATCAGCACCTTCAGTCACACAAGTTGTTTGCCTCCGAATGCTGTCCTCCTGCTGTCTCCTCCTCCTCCTGCTGCTGTCTCCTCCTCCTGCTGCTGTCTCCTCCTCCTGCTGCTGTCTCCTCCTCCTGCTGCTGTCTCCTCCTCCTCCTGCTGCTGTCTCCTCCTCCTCCTGCTGTCTCCTCCTCCTCCTGCTGTCTCCTCCTCCTCCTCCTGCTGTCTATAACTCTTAAATTGAGACTTCCTTCTGGTCCAGGTCCAAACCAGGTCTAAACTACAGTAGGCCTAATGCAGGTCTAAACTACAGTAGGCCTAATGCAGGTCTAAACCAGATCAATAATGGGTCTAAAGCAGGTCTAAACTAGGTCTAATGCAGGTCTGAACAAGGTCTGTGTTCTGTTTTCAAACTTGTCTGAACCTGAATTGAGTCTTTGAAAACAGTCGGAGCCAAATGCGTCTCAACACGACTGAGAACACACCTCAGTCTGTTCCCCTCAGACCCCGGGGCTGGACCTGGACTCAAAACCTGGACCTGGATCGGGACCTGCACCTGGAGCTGGACATAAAACCTTTTCTTTATCCCTGTAGAGCTTTTCCATCAGTGACTGATCTACATCTATCAGTAAAAGGTAAACTACTCTGGACTTTTACTGCACATGGCTAATAAATGAATCTGAATCTGAATTGTGGGAGTAAGGAGACAGGTCTGTAGTTGTTGAAGTGATGCCTTTGTACAATGGGATAACCTTGGCTGTTTTCATGCTGTTTGGAAAGACACCAGTGTGAAATGACAAGTTACAGATGTGCGTTAGCGGCTTAATAATTCCCTCAATCACATCTTTCACAAGAGTCATGTCAATGTCATTATAATCAGTAGATTTCTTATTTTGACACTTTTTAACAATGTCAAGTACTTCCTTTTCTTCCACTTTATTAAGAAACATTGAGTGGGGATTTCTGGGGAATGCTCTACCAACTGAGCTACAGGGCGACAGTAGCTCAGTTGGTAGAGCATTGGCCTTAAGCCCAGAAGGTTGTGGGTTCAATTCCCGCCTCTGCACCTTCTCCACCGACTCCCACTGATGACTGCTGTCGTTGTGTCCTTGGGCAAGACACTTAACCCCACTTTGCCCAAAGCCCCCACTGAAAGATCAAGGCTATGCTCACACTCAGAGAGCAGCCGTCCTCCTGTGGACTCACCACCTGCAGAGGGTCAGTGAGGGGCTGGTGCTATGAGACTTGGGTGGCATCTCTGACTGCCACCCCCCTGACCCAGAAATGGATTAAAGGGTAGAAAATGGATGGATGGATGGAGTGGGGATTTCTTTCTATGAACACATCCATGTCTTTACCAACTGCCCCTGGATACTTAGTTACAAATTATAATTTTTTTGCCAAAAGGACTCAATTTTTGCCCTTGAAGACATCCACGCATGTCACACATGGGGTTGGGGTCTGATGCAACCTTTCCGCGGCAAAATTCATAAAGTGTTTAAAGTTAGACAGACGCTCGCCCGACTCTATATCGCCCCCTGGAAATGTCAAAGTCTACGGGAGCCAGACATGAATAATTTAGAGAAGGTTGACGTCAGCTCAGGAACCAACAGGAAGTCGGCCATGACGGTCTGAGGTTTCACTGCCAATCTGACTTTTCATTTTTGGATTCATCCTAGTCCTTGGTTTGTTTGAGATTGTTTTATTCTCTATTTACAACATGACGGTTTCATAACTGTGATAAGCGTAAAAATATGTAAATACTCACTCAATATGACTCTAGAGCGCAACCAAAGTCGCAGGGTCCAATCTTACATCCTTACAATGCAGAGGGTGCATGTCCCACAGAGGACCACTAGGGGCGCACTGGATCCTTTAAATTAGCTTATGTCTGATCAGGCTGCGAATACATCTGCAAGTACTAAGCACTAAACACTAATGGGACTGACGCTAATGGGACTGACGCTAATGGGACTGACGCTAATGGGGCTGACGCTAATGGGACTGACGCTAATGGGACTGACGCTAATGGGGCTGACGCTAATGGGGCTGACGCTAATGGGACTGACGCTAATGGGGCTGACGCTAATGGGACTGACGCTAATAGGGCTGACGCTAATGGGGCTGACGCTAATGGGACTGACGCTAATAGGGCTGACGCTAATGGGACTGACGCTAATGGGACTGACGCTAATGGGACTGACGCTAATGGGACTGACGCTAATGGGGCTGACGCTAATGGGGCTGACGCTAATGGGGCTGACGCTAATGGGACTGACGCTTATGGGACTGACGCTAATGGGACTGACGCTAATGGGACTGACGCTTATGGGGCTGACGCTAATGGGGCTGACGCTAATGGGGCTGACGCTAATGGGGCTGACGCTAATGGGACTGACGCTTATGGGACTGACGCTTATGGGACTGACGCTAATGGAACTGACGCTAATGGGACTGACGCTAATGGGACTGACGCTAATGGGACTGACGCTAATGGGGCTGACGCTAATGGGACTGACGCCCATGGGACTCACGCCCGGGAGGCGGTCGCCAGAGTGGCGAGGGCTTTCATCTCCGCTTGCGGCTTTAATTTTTATTGTTACTATTTATATTGTGCAGAATCTGAGCGACCTGAAGAAGGAAAACTTCAGCCTCAAACTGAGGATTTACTACATGGAGGAGAAAAACCAGGACCCGGACCTGGACCTGCACCGAGAGGTCAGAGACCAGAGACCAGAGAGATGAGTGCGTGATTCATATTTTTTAACATGATTATTGTGTTTGTAGAACGTGGAGCTGAAGGTCCAGCTGCAAGGTCTGATCAGAGAGCTGCAGGAGAAAGATGAACAGCTGCAGGAGAAAGATGAACAGCTGCAAGGTCTGATCAGAGAGCTGCAGGAGAAAGACGAACAGCTGCAAGGTCTTATCACAGAGCTGCAGGAGAAAGACGAACAGCTGCAAGGTCTGAGCACAGAGCTGCAGGAGAAAGACGAACAGCTGCAGGGTCTTATCACAGAGCTGCAGGAGAAAGACGAACAGCTGCAAGGTCTTATCACAGAGCTGCAGGAGAAAGACGAACAGCTGCAAGGTCTTATCACAGAGCTGCAGGAGAAAGACGAACAGCTGCAAGGTCTGAGCACAGGGCTGCAGGAGAAATACGAAGAGCTGGGACGGACTCTGTGAGTTTATATATATATATATACCATCAGACCGTCCTCTCACTACTGTCTCCTTTACCTTCAGACTCTCTCACTGCTGTCTCCTTTACCTTCAGACTCTCTCACTACTGTCTCCTTTACCTTCAGACTCTCTCACTACTGTCTCCTTTACCTTCAGACTCTCTCACTACTGTCTCCTTTACCTTCAGACTCTCTCACTACTGTCTCCTTTACCTTCAGACTCTCTCACTACTGTCTCCTTTACCTTCAGACTCTCTCACTGCTGTCTCCTTTACCTTCAGACTCTCTCACTACTGTCTCCTTTACCTTCAGACTCTCTCACTGCTGTCTCCTTTACCTTCAGACTCTCTCACTACTGTCTCCTTTACCTTCAGACTCTCTCACTACTGTCTCCTTTACCCTCAGACTCTCTCACTACTGTCTCCTTTACCTTCAGACTCTCTCACTGCTGTCTCCTTTACCTTCAGACTCTCTCACTACTGTCTCATTTACCTTCAGACTCTCTCACTACTGTCTCCTTTACCTTCAGACTCTCTCACAGCTGTCTCCTTTACCTTCAGACTCTCTCACTGCTGTCTCCTTTACCTTCAGACTCTCTCACTGCTGTCTCCTTTACCTTCAGACTCTCTCACTACTGTCTCCTTTACCTTCAGACTCTCTCACTACTGTCTCCTTTACCTTCAGACTCTCTCACTACTGTCTCCTTTACCTTCAGACTCTCTCACTACTGTCTCCTTTACCTTCAGACTCTCTCACTGCTGTCTCCTTAACCTTCAGACTCTCTCACTGCTGTCTCCTTTACCTTCAGACTCTCTCATAATATTGTTTCAGTCCTCTTGTCAAGATCTTGGCCAATCAGAGCACAAAGGAGAATAAGCAACAAGATGCAGTGACCAATCAGCTTCAAGAAGGTCTGGAGTCCCGCCTCCTGCAGGTTTTTTATATCTTATGATTCATTGTTCTTTCATATAGATGTGTTTGTCTGTTTCTTGAAAAGAGATGCTCCCAGGCAGTCATCTTATATCAGAGGAAAAAGGTTTAGTACAATGACTTAGAGTAATTTGAATCGCAGCAGTTTGGTACTTTAGAGCCGCGGCCGCCCCACTGTGGCCCCTGTGGCCCCTGGTGTTCCCAGAGGTCTCCCATCACAGCACTGACCAAACTAGGCATACCGTTGAAGGGGGAAGAACAGCACAGACAGCAGCGACACATTCAGATCTGTAACATATCTGTATCTGTAATAAAATGTGTTTGTGTGTTTCTAGGAGGAGGTGGCAAAGGAGGAGGTGACGGAGGAGGAGATGACGGAGGAGGTGACGGAGGAGTTCCTTCAGCAGCTGCTTCAGGCTCAGACTCAGGTCCAAACTCTGCAGAACAAGATCAGGATCAGCGAGGACCGAAACCGGGTACTCTGTCTTCTATGTTCTGTCCCTTTGGAGCCTGTTGCACCAGGAACCGACAGTGTGGGGACCATAGACCGTGTGGGGACCATAGACAGTGGAGAGACCATAGACGGTGTGGGGACCATAGACCGTGTGGCGACCATCGACAGTGTGGGGACCATAGACAGTGGGGAGACCATATACAGTGTGGTGACCATAGACCCTGTGGGGACCATAGACCGTGTGGGGACCATCGACAGTGTGGGGACCATAGACAGTGTGGGGACCATAGACAGTGTGGGGACCATCGACCGTGTGGGGACCATAGACAGTGTGGGGACCATAGACCGTGTGGAGACCATAGACAGTGTGGAGACCATAGACAGTGTGGGGACCATAGACAGTGTGGGGACGATAAGCTCCGCCCCCTCTGACTAATGTGGGCCAAGGACAGCGGTGATGATCCAGGACGCTCCAGGTAAGGGTTCCAATCTCGGGTCAGGGTTCAAGGGTGAAGGGGTTAGGGTTCTGGTCTGGGATCAGGTCATGTCATGGGTCAGAGGTCGGGATTAAAGGGTCAGGTCTGCGGTCAGGGGTTGAGGTTCAGGGGTCTGGGTTCAGGGTTCAGGGGTCTGCCAGAGCCATGACTTGAGCCTCTGTGTTTCCAGCTGCTGCTGAAGCGTCTCGGGGAGATGGAAGTCGAGGTGAGAACAGTGCGACAAGAGGTTCAAGTCTCACTGTACTGCAGAGAACCAGAGGTATGAACCTGCACTAAACCAGGACTGGACCGGGACTAAATCTTTTCCTTCTGGTCTAAGCAGGACAGAGTGTTGAAGGAGCCTTCGTTGTTGCAGCAGAAAACAATTTTGGATCAAGAACTTTATGAAGTCAAGACTGAAGCTCAGAAGACTGGGTACTGGACCTCTCTGTCCCAGACCTGACCCAGACCAGACCCAGACCTTTGATCAGATCAGACCCTGAAATGCATATTCTATACTTTTATTTTTTATTAAATGATTAAACCCTAACCCACTTTGTCATGAGAGGCTGCGAAGTAAAGTCGGTAGAATAGATCTAGGGCTAACCACTCTGCCGCTGTGTTTTACAGAAAAGCCCTTTTGGACCTGAGGGCCCAGAACCAGGAACTGCGACAGGAAGTGATGTCACAGCATCAAGAGACCTTTGATCACAGAAGTTGGGGCTCGTCTCTTATGACATTTAAAATGTTCTGAACAAATAATACTGAGCCACAGGGGGCGCTGTTGCTGTCTGTTTCCAACAGACAATAAAACTGTTTCCTTTGTCCAGGAGGTGGCGCTGTGCTGGATATGGGATATGAGACGTGTGACAGAAGTGAGACTGAAGCCGAGAGAGACATCAGCAGCCCAGGTACCGACCCCATCTCCCCTAACCCCACCTCTGCTGACCCCCACCTCCCTAAACCCCACCTCCCCAAACCCCACCTCCCCAAACCCCACCTCCCTAAACCCCACCTCCCCCAACCCCCACCTCCTCTGACCTGCCCCTCGCCCTGAACCTATCCACTCACACAGCTTTTGTTTTCAGAGTTTGATGATCTGGAGATGTGTTTGTCTCTGGATCACAGTGCAGACCTGTGGAGGTCTCAGAACCAGGGATCAGACCAAGACCAGGTTCAAGTGAAGGACCAGGACAAAGACCAGGACCTGAGCCACAGATCTGCACACGGACAGGTTCTGGAGCTGCAGCTGCTGGTCAAACATCTCCAGTCCGAGCTGAACCGGTCCAAAGTCCAGGACCCAGAGCTCACAGACCTGCTGGACCGCGTGGAGACCCTCGAAAACCAGATCAAGAGTGAAGCCAGGACCGAAAACCAAGATGAGAGCAGAACTGGGTAAGTGCTGGACCACATCAGCCCAGTGTTTAGACCACATCACCCCAGTGTTTAGACCACATCAGCCCAGTGTATAGACCACATCAGCCCAGTGTTTAGACCGCATCACCCCAGTGTTTAGACCACATCAGCCCAGTGTTTAGACCACATCAGCCCAGTGTTTAGACCACATCAGCCCAGTGTTTAGACCACATCACCCCAGTGTTTAGACCACATCACCCCAGTGTTTAGACCGCATCAGCCCAGTGTTTAGACCACATCAGCCCAGTGTTTAGACCACATCAGCCCAGTGTATAGACCACATCAGCCCAGTGTTTAGACCACATCAGCCCAGTGTTTAGACCACATCAGCCCAGTGTATAGACCACATCAGCCCAGTGTATAGACCACATCAGCCCAGTGTTTAGACCACATCAGCCCAGTGTTTAGACCGCATCAGCCCAGTGTTTAGACCACATCACCCCAGTGTTTAGACCACATCAGCCCAGTGTTTAGACCACATCAGCCCAGTGTATAGACCACATCAGCCCAGTGTTTAGACCACATCAGCCCAGTGTTTAGACCACATCACCCCAGTGTTTAGACCACATCACCCCAGTGTTTAGACCACATCAGCCCAGTGTTTAGACCACATCAGCCCAGTGTATAGACCACATCAGCCCAGTGTTTAGACCACATCAGCCCAGTGTATAGACCACATCAGCCCAGTGTATAAACCACATCAGCCCAGTGTTTGGACCACATCAGCCCAGTGTTTGGACCACATCAGCCCAGTGTTTAGACCACATCAGCCCAGTGTTTAGACCACATCACCCCAGTGTTTAGATCACATCACCCCAGTGTTTGGACCTAAGACATCTCTGATTTTCTTCTTTTCGCAGACACCTGGTTCATCTTCAGGCGAGGGAACTCTCTCACCTCCGTCAGGTCCTGAGAGAATCCCGGAGTCTGGTCCAAATCCTGCTGCAGAGCCTGACTGAGCAGCTGCAGGGTTTGGCGGACCTGCAGGCGTCCGGAGGAGAGCACGGTCGGACTGAACAGCTGCAGGAGATCCACCAACTCACACAGCGTCTGTACAAGAAGATCAGCCTCAGTCAGTATCCACAAAGACTAACTCACAGCTGTAACTGTCATTAGCTGCGTTTCCATTGAATAATGCGCAACAACTTTTTCGATACATTTCAAAATTCGAAAAACCTGTAATTCGCAAAAGCGGCCGTTTCCATTAAGACATATTCGAATAAGTATACACTATTTTCGCGCGTTTATTCACTAGTTTCTAGTACGTCAACATGGCAACAGAAGTAAACAACACTTTTATTTACGTGAGATATATTAATGTCTTGACTTCTGCTGTGGCTCTCATCCTCTCTGACCCCGGGAGAAACTGTGGCTGCTTTGACAGCTCCGCGAACGCCGTGGTCAAGAACCGAGCGCGGACCATAGACGCGCGCACAGAACCATAGACACGGGTCTTGCCTGTCTCCCCCGTCTCTCCCCCATGCCTCTCCCCCGTCTCTCCCCCATGCCTCTCCCCCGTCTCTCCCCCATGCCTCTCCCCCGTCTCTTCCCCGTCTCTCCCCCGTCTCTCCCCCGTCTCTCCCCCATGCCTCTCCCCCGTCTCTCCCCCGTCTCTTCCCCGTCTCTCCCCCATGCCTCTCCCACGTATCTCCCAAGTCTCCACACGAAGCGCAGCCAAAACTCACTGAATAAAGCAGCTCGGCTTCCTCCGCTATATCGAAATAAGTGTTTCCATTGCCGTTTTGCGAAAAACTTAATTTCGATACGTCCAAAAAACCACCTATTTTAAGCGCATTAACTTTTTATCGAAAAACTGTGGTTTATTCGAAATTTGCGCGTTTCCATTAGACATTTTATGATGCGCAAATTCAAATTTCGAAATTTGATGCTCAATGGAAACGCAGCTATTGGTCCATTGTGCTATACAAAAAAACTTGCCTTGCCATTTTGGATCATTTTGATGTTTTCAGAGCAGCTGCCAGAGGAACCGGAGGATAAGAGCGAGCTGCTGGCCATGAGGTGAGCGTCCTCCATGTGATGTCGAGTCATCATTAAAGGGCCCTAATCTGTCATAATTAAAGGGCCCTCATCTGTCATCATTGAAGGGCCCTAATCTGTCATAATTAAAGGGCCCTAATCTGTCATCATTGAAGGGCCCTAATCTGTCATCATTAAAGGCGCCTAATCTGTCATCATTAAAGGGCCCTAATCTGTCATCATTAAAGGGCCCTAATCTGTCATCATTAAAGGGCCCTAATCTGTCATCATTAGAGGGCCCTAATCTGTCATCATTAAAGGGCCCTAATCTGTCATCATTGAAGGGCCCTAATCTGTCATCATTAAAGGGCCCTAATCTGTCCTCATTAAATGGCCCTAATCTGTCATCATTATAGGGCCCTAATCTGTCATCATTAAAGGGCCCTAATCTGTCATCATTAAAGGGCCCTAATCTGTCATCATTAGAGGGCCCTAATCTGTCATCATTAAAGGGCCCTAATCAGTCATCATTAAAGGCGCCTAATCTGTCATCATTAAAGGGCCCTAATCTGTCCTCATTAAATGGCCCTAATCTGTCATCATTAAAGGGCCCTAATCTGTCCTCATTAAATGGCCCTAATTTGTCATCATTAAAGGGCCCTAATCTGTCATCATTAGAGGGCCCTAATCTGTCATCATTAAAGGGCCCTAATCTGTCATCATTAAAGGGCCCTAATCTGTCATCATTAAAGGCGCCTAATCTGTCATCATTAAAGGGCCCTAATCTGTCATCATTAAAGGGCCCTAATCTGTCATCATTAAAGGGCCCTAATCTGTCATCATTAGAGGGCCCTAATCTGTCATCATTAAAGGGCCCTAATCTGTCATCATTAAAGGGCCCTAATCTGTCATCATTAAAGGGCCCTAATCTGTCATCATTAAAGGGCCCTAATCTGTCATCATTAGAGGGCCCTAATCTGTCATCATTAAAGGGCCCTAATCTGTCATCATTAAAGGCGCCTAATCTGTCATAATTAAAGGGCCCTAATCTGTCCTCATTAAATGGCCCTAATCTGTCATCATTAAAGGGCCCTAATCTGTCCTCATTAAATGGCCCTAATTTGTCATAATTAAAGGGCCCTAATCTGTCATCATTAGAGGGCCCTAATCTGTCATCATTAAAGGGCCCTAATCTGTCATCATTAAAGGCGCCTAATCTGTCATCATTAAAGGGCCCTAATCTGTCATCATTAAAGGGCCCTAATCTGTCATCATTAAAGGGCCCTAATCTGTCATCATTAGAGGGCCCTAATCTGTCATCATTAAAGGGCCCTAATCTGTCATCATTAAAGGCGCCTAATCTGTCATCATTAAAGGGCCCTAATCTGTCCTCATTAAATGGCCCTAATCTGTCATCATTAAAGGGCCCTAATCTGTCCTCATTAAATGGCCCTAATTTGTCATCATTAAAGGGCCCTAATATGTCATCATTAGAGGGCCCTAATCTGTCATCATTAAAGGGCTCTAATCTGTCCTCATTAAATGGCCCTAATCTGTCATCATTAAAGGGCCCTAATCGTCCTCATTAAATGGCCCTAATTTGTCATCATTAAAGGGCCCTAATCGTCCTCATTAAATGGCCCTAATTTGTCATCATTAAAGGGCCCTAATCTGTCATCATTAGAGGGCCCTAATCTGTCATCATTAAAGGCGCCTAATCTGTCATCATTAACACACACACAGACAGACACACACACACACACACACACCCGCACACACACACACACACAACATAGACACACACACACAGACAGACACACACACACACACCCGCACACACACACACACACAACATAGACACACACACACAGACAGACACACACACACACACCCGCACACACACACACAGACATAGACACAGACACAGACACACACAACATAGACACACACACAGACATAGACACAGACACACACGCGCACAGACACAGACACACACACACACAGACACACACAACATAGACACACACACAGACATAGACACAGACACACACGCGCACAGACACAGACACACACAACATAGACACACACACAGACATAGACACAGACACACACACAACTTAGACACACACACAGACAGACACACACACACACACACTCGCACACACACACAGATGTAAATGATGTGTGGTTCCAGGCTGAGTAAAGAGCTACACCAGAAGGACCGTCTCATCCAATCACTACGCTCCGAACTGCAGCAGGACAACCCCACCGACTCCGACCAATCAGAGTGCAGCTCCTACATGAGTGAAGAGCTGTCCTCCAATCAGGACACAGATTTGTACTCCGATCTGAGAATGGACCAATCGCAGAGCAGCAGCCAATCGGAGGGCTCCAAACGCACAGGTAACGGTAGAAAATGGTAGACAATAAAAACAGTATAAAAAATGTGAGGTTTGTTTCCAGAGTTCGGCTCCATGTTTTCAGCTGCTCCTCCATCGGCACAGAGCTTTCCCATGATGCACCGCTCTGGACACGCCCCCTGGTCAGGACACACCCCCTCAGGTGACACTCCCTCATTGTAAAAGATTATATTGTATTTGAATGCTGGGGTCCAAAAGTCCGGCCTAAGTCTTCGGCAAGAAAGACTGCAGCAGATCCAGAATAGTAGAATGAAAGGTTTATTGCAGCTTGAACAGGTTGGGATGGATGCGTGAAACAAGAGCGTGTGTGTGTGTGTGGTTATATAGTCATTAAACGCACAACAACACGATGTGAGAAAGCTAAGAGAGAGCACTCTCTTCACTCGTTGCCCTCCTACAGCAGACTGCCCACCTGGACTCCTGTGCGCATGTCAGTGAGGGGCGAACTATTCTTAAAGGTACAGTGTCATTGAAGCAGGGAACTTTGCACAGCCGCCCCCGAAGTCCGAAGCGACTTTGAAAAGAATTCAAAAATGTCCCTGCGGTCTGGCATCAGTCCTCTGGCATCTCGGGCAGCGAGATGAGTTTGGTTACCGGCCAAGTGTAAGTAGTCCCTTTAATGTCCACATCGGCAGAGCGGATTCGGCCATCGTCACTTGGGATCACCTTAGTGACCCGACCAATGGGCCAACGTGCTCTTGGCAGTTGTTGATCCACAACCATGACCACCTGATCAGTGGTGAGGTCCGGCGTGTGAGTTTGCCATTTCCTCCTCTGGTGGAGGTTAGGCAGGTAGTTCCTTGTGAACTGGGTCCAGAAATGATCGGCTAACACCTGGCTGTGTTTCCAACGACGGCGTCCAATCAAGTCACTACTGGCATAGATGGCTTGCGGCAGAGAGGCATCCCGCCGCCCCATCAAAAGAAGGTTAGGAGTAATGGGGTCTGGGTCTGCAATGTCTGAAGTGGCATATCCAAGCGGTTTTGAGTTGAGGATACCTTCCACTTCTATGAGGACGGTCAGCAAGACCTCCTCAGGGAGCACTCTGTCTTTAAGAACGACTTGGAGGGCTGCTTTAACAGATTTGATCTCCCTCTCCCAAATACCTCCGAAATGCGGTGCATACGGTGGATTGTATTTGAAGGTGATTCTCTGCTCAGCCAGCTGCTCTTTCAAGGCTGGCTCCAGTACCTCAAATGCTCTCTGCAGTTCTCCGTCGCCCCCCCGGAAGTTAGTGGCTCTGTCGCTTAGGATCTTGTAAGGCTTGCCTCGTCTGGCCACAAAACGTCGTAAGGCAAGAAGGAATGAGACTGTGTCCATACTGCACAAGAGGTCAAGGTGCACACATCTTGTTGTCAAACATTTGAAAATTATGCCCCACCTCTTCTCTTGTTTGCGACCTATTTTGACGGCATATGGTCCAAAACAGTCGATTCCTGTGGACCAATAAGGAGGTTTATGTAAGCGAAGGCGTGCATCTGGAAGGTCTGCCATACGTGGTACAGTGGGTTTGTTGCGCCATCTTTGGCACTCTGCACAGCTGCGTTGGTGCTACTTTACAGCTTGGCGCCCACGGAGGATCCAATATGTCCGCCTTATTTCTGCGAACACACGTTCTGGACCAGGGTGCAGCAACTCGGTGTCGTAGTGTTGTATCAGCAGCCGGGTAGCAGGATGGTCAGGCGCTAGGACAATAGGAGGTATCATGTCCGGAGAGCCTTCTACCTTCCTCAGCCGACCACCAACTCGCACCAAGCCCACCGCACTGTCATATTCTGGGCAAAGAGAAAGCAGACGACTGTTATTACTGAGTGGCTTACCTGTCTGCAGAGCAGCGACCTCTGCAGCGAAGCTCTCCTCCTGCGCTCGTCTGAGAACTGCAACTTCAGTCTCAATGCGGGCAGAGGCAGTCATCGGAGGAGCAGCCGCCCCGTGTTGGGACAGGTATGTCGCTTGGACCAGTTCAGACCAGGAGTTATATTGAGTCGGGTCTGGAGCTGTGGGCGTGGCCGTCACAAGACCACAAAAGGTCACGTCTCGGCTCTCTTCTGGTGGAACAGAGGCCGTAGCGGGCTTAACTGGCCATTCCCTGTGGGGCTGATACAGGAAACAAGGCCCACAGGTCCAGCGGCTGGGTTTTGCCAAGTCACTAAGATGTTTGCCACGCGTGACATCATCAGCAGCATTGTCATTGGTTGGAACATAGCGCCAATTGTCCGCACCCCCAGCTCAGTCCCTACAAACACTTTGTACTGCTGTGACTCTGACTGGATCCAATGGAGGACAGTAGTTGAATCTGTCCACAGTGTTGTAGTTTTCAACGGCAGCGTTAGTTCTGTTTGGATGACCTTTGCTAACTGAGCACCAGCCAGAGCGGCGCACAGTTCCAATCGAGGGATGGAGAGCTGCTTCTTTGGGGCTACTCGGGACCTGGCCAGAACAAAGGACACTTGCAATGCACCTGTAAAGTCATGCTCTGCCCTCAAATATGCAACTGCACCATATGCTCTCTCTGAGGCGTCTGTGAAGATGTGCAACTCCAGTGGCGTGTCAGCTGGGACATTTGAGAGGTAACATCGGAGTATTGTCACATGCTGCAGCTGAGGTAGTTCACTCTCCCATGCCTGCCACACCGGAAGGAGCTCATCTGTGATTGGCTCATCCCAGTCTCGGCCTTTCTTCCACAGCGCTTGAACCAGCACCTTAGCACGGGTTGTGCAGGGAATAAGAAAGCTGAGTGGGTCATATTGGCTGGCCAGCACACGGTACACATACCTCAGAGTGGGTTGAGCAAGAGGAATAGCTCTATGTCTGTAACTGAGTGCGTCTGTGCTGCAGTTCCACAGAAGGCCCAGAGTAGACTCGAGAGGGTCTTCTTTATGAGCATTGAGCCATAACTCACAGGTGGCAGACTTTGCTTCAGCTGGCAGATGAGAGACAACATCAGGTACATTGGAGGACCACTGACGCATGTCAAAGCCTCCCTGGGCAAGGAGAGCTCTGAGCCTGTCGATGAGCTGTTTGGCCTGCTCTGGAGAGGGCAATGACTGCAGGCAGTTGTCCACATACATAGATTGCAGCACTATATTGACGATATCCTCATTACCCTCACTGTAGTCCTGGACGTGGCGCTGTAGTGCAAACCTCTTAAGGATCACCCTCCCTGTACAGGGAGGATTCAGTTATTTTTCATTTAACAGCATCAGTAGTAGAATTCACTTGTGTCAATATAGTCAAGCTATATCTCTTTTGAAAGCTTATTCCCACCTCTATACACGTATTATGTTCAAATAAACATTAAATATAAACAAAAGTAAGAATAAGTAGTCAAACTGTATATATGTTTAAAATATATATTGTCGTTTCTGGGGCGACAGTAGCTCAGTTGGTAGAGCATTGGCCTTTGGGCCTAGAGGTCGCGAGTTCGATTCCCACCATGGGACCTACTCCAACTGCTCCCACTGATGACTGCTGTCGTTGTGTCCTTGGGCAAGACACTTAACCCCACATTGCCTGAACCCCCCCGCTGAAAGATCAAGGCTGTTTCACAATTGACGGAGCAGCCATCTTCCTGTGGACTCACCCCCTGCAGAAGATCAGCGAGGGACTGGTGCTATGAGCGTTGGGTGGCAGCTCTCATTGCCACCCCCCCGACCCAGAAATGGACAAAGGGGTTGAAAATGAAATGAAAATGAAATGAAATTGTCGTTTCTTACCTTGTCATGCTAATATTCTGGGGCAAATCACGTCTAATCCACACATGTATGCATTGTTTTGTTCGTTACGGTCTAGAGAATAATTATATCCAGTTGTTTTTTCTTCAAAGTCATCCTTATAGTAGATATCCACTTGCAACAACATATTTGAGTATTGAAAGTTGCACAAACAAAAACAAAACCTGTTCTTTGCGCACTGTATGAAGAGGACATTTTACTGTTTAGCTAGCGTCACTGGGTATGTTCGTCTTCCTCTAAGCCTCCCCTTCAAAACAAGCCCATTCCCGGACTTTTCAGTGCTATGGTTTGGAAGGTAGAGTAAGTTGAGTAAAACAAGCGCACCTAGATTTAGCGCTCCATTCACATAGATATCTGTGCGTCATGACAGCATTGTCTTGACTACCATTGGCCGATTTGGATGTCAATCAAATCATCTTGTAGCCAATAATCTCAGGTTTCAGGCGATGTGTCGGACTTCTAGCTTCCTCCCACTGTTCCCGTCATATTTGAATGCGTAAAGAGGAAGACGGAGCCTTTTTCACGGAGAACACGCGCTATAACTATATAAATAATAGCTTTTCTGCAAACATTTCAATATCTGGAAAAAATGCTATTTATAGCAAGAGTAATAGCCAAAAAATTATATAAATGGATTTTTGGTGTAAAAACATTGATAATTTGCATGTAAAACACTTTTGCACAGTTGGCACAAAAATGGACCACTTGTGCCGAATGTGCCCATTAGTTACAAAAAAGCCCCCAGCATCAAAATAGTTCCACCTAAAGGTCTAAAATTTCATACAGGTGTTTCCAACACCACAAACATCTGCTCTGGTGAGTTTGAACATCATACCTAAAGTATGTCTTCAGAAAAACCTTTTGAAATTGCCTTTTTTGTTTTGAGACAAAAAAAACTAACTTTGACTCATGTTTGAGAAGCTGTAGTGCAGACTGTGTCCTTCCTAACAAACTGTATTCATTTTCAGAAACTAGAAGGTGTTACCTTTCAAATGAGGCCTCATAACACAAAATCAGACACAAGATGTCCACACAATAAGCATTTCCATTTGGGTATCATAATTCGAGAAGGAGCAGGCGAAATTAGGTGATCCTTAAAGGGATATATAGCACAACATGGGCTGCATGTCGTACCAAAGGGTAACACACGCCACTCGTAGACATCAGGACTGCGCTCTCTGTCTCCATCTCTCCACAGGAAACGAAGCAGTGGTTGATCTTGTGGGAGGAGCCTCACTTGATGGAACATGCCTCGAATATCACCGTTGATGGCCACAGTATATTCCCTGAAACACAGAAGCACTGCAAGGAGTGAAGGACCGAGAGTCGGGCCTGGCATGAGGTTCTTATTGAGGCAGGCCTGTTGATGCACAAAAGAACAGTTAAAAACAACTCTGGATTTATTATTGTGGAAAACGAGATGGTGTGGCAGGAACCATGACTCGTCTGAGTTGTTTACTTCTTCTGGACTGATTTTCACTGCATAACCTGATCTGACTAGTTTGTCCATTTCTTCATCGTAAATAAGCAATTGTTCAGGATTATGTGAGAGGCGGCGCTCGGTGGCTCTAAGGAGAGGCATGACTGCATTAGGTGAAGCCAATAGGTGAGATGCATTTTTCTTTCGCAGGAGGGGGACTGCATATCGACTCACACCATCTACTGTGACCCTAACACTCTGCTGCTCTAGTTGTTCTAGTGCTGCTTTGTCTTCTCCAGAGCGAGTGACCTCTTTGGTGGAACGAAAGGGCAGTGAATCCAATTGCCACAGTCGTTCCACATGTTGATGTAGCTCCTCTGCAGGGGACAGAACTGATACGTGCAGGCAGCTGCTGTCACGAGGAGATTGTTGGAGGAAGCTGGCTGGTCCCTGCACTGCCCATCCCAGGGCTGTGCACCCAGCGACAGGACCACCAATGGGGCCAGATATGACAGGTTGCTTTGGAATGATGAGATGTGGGTTGTCTGATCCAATGAGAATCAGTGGTTGGATTTTATTAAAGGACGACAGCGGAACGTCCCTTAAATGTCTGTAGCCTCTCTGGAGATGCTCAGGGGAACAGGATTGCTCAGCCAGATTCAACTCTGCAGCTGTAAACGCGTTGTGAACCTTGAATCTCAGTCCATTCTTTGTTGGGGATGACACTTGGAATGACACAGTGGAACCTTTAATTTGGACTACTTCCTGTCTTATTGTCCTTAGAGAGAGTACTTCAGGCTGTTGTTGGAGATCAAGCTGTTGAACGGCAGCAGGCAGGATAACAGTGCGCTCAGAGCCGTCATCCAACACTGCATGTGTGTCCATATATTTACTCCCATTGTATACGCGGACTGGCACTACTTTTAACATCACTCTGCCTGAGTGACTGGCTTGATCGACGAATACCATACTTGAGGTAGTGTTAACAGTCAGGATGCTCTCTGCCTGGGCCACATCATGCAGCACAGGAAGATGTTGTTCTCCGCAGGTAGAACAAGGCTTCTTTAATGTGCAGTTATCTGGAGAATGTCCTCGGCCACACCTCCAACATTTCTTATTGTCCTTTATCCAAGCTGCCCTGGCTGGATTTGAGAGCTTGGTGAAGTCATCACACCCGTTGAGGTAGTGCTCCTGATTGCAGCAGTAGGGACAGTATGGTTTGAATCTATCCCTCTTCTTTCCTTGCTGTGCACTAGGGGAAGCTAGGCGTGTGACTGTGGGCTGAGTTGATTCATTACTGACAAACAATACAGCTGTAGACTTGGGCTTCTGTGTTTTGACTGCCCTCCTCTCCACACTACTGGTGTCGTATGAATGTGTCCCTATTCTACGGGATACCTGTAGGGTCTGCACTTTCCTCTCTAGCCACTCAGCTAGGTCTGGTAGCGTGTATGTCCTGTCACTGCCACTCTGAATAATACCCCTGCTGAAACAGTACTCAGCAAAGGAATCTCTTAAGTACGGGGGTAGTTTTTGTGAGCAGTGTGTCAACATGGGAACCACATTGCAACTCAGATGATGATGGGCCCTGCATAGAACTTAACATGCCTACCAGTGTGCTAACAGCTGCAGAAAAATCCTCCATGCCCTGGTAATCACCTGCTTTAACTGGGGGTGCGGTCAGGATGGATTTGAGCTCTGCCTGCACTAGCTGTCTAGGCTGACCATAACGCTGCTGAAGAGCTAACATAGCACTAGAGTAAAGGCGCGTTCAGACCAAAAGCTTCAAAAAGCTTTTGACGCGCTTCAACTGACGCCGGGATAGTTTTGTCATTTTGGTGCTTGAAGCTTTTGACGCGAGTGACGCGCCTGACGCCGGTGGGAGGAGCTTCTCTGTTGTCTGTTGTCAGGACAGCGGTGGATTTTTCAATGAGCAGCGAGCCTTTATTTGTTATATAAAGCAAAATAAAGTTGTTGTAGGGCTTCAACAAAACATGTTCTGGGTTCACCACAGACTTGAGAGGCTGCAGTGTTTGCAGAGTTCCGTCATTTACTCCAGGAGCTGCGTACGGAGGAGTTTCGCTTTCAGCGGTACTTCCGCATGTCACTTGCCCAGTCTGAGTTCTCAAACCCCGGCTCTCGCCCCTCCCTGCCTCTCCCTGCCTCTCCCTGCCTCTCCCTGCCTCTCCCTGCCTCTCCCTGCCTCTCCCTGCCTCTCCCCGGCTCTCGCTCGCCTCTCCCTGCCTCTCCCCGGCTCTCTCTCGCCTCTCCCTGCCTCTCCCCGGCTCTCGCTCGCCTCTCCCTGCCTCTCCCCGGCGCCTCTCCCTGCCTCTCCCTGCCTCTCCCTGCCTCTCCCTGCCTCTCCCTGCCTCTCCCCGGCTCTCGCTCGCCTCTCCCTGCCTCTCCCCGGCTCTCGCTCGCCTCTCCCTGCCTCTCCCCGGCTCTCGCTCGCCTCTCCCTGCCTCTCCCCGGCTCTCGCTCGCCTCTCCCTGCCTCTCCCTGCCTCTCGCCCGCCCGGAGCTGCCTTGCTCTGAGCCAGACCCATCGTCAGCCTGTTCTTATATTAAATAAACTACGTTTACTACACAGCATGTGTACAATGATTTTTGTTACTCAGAATGTTACTACTCATACAAATAATATTACTAATAACAATAATGACAATAAAACAGCAGCAGCAGATACATGACTTCTCTTCATGACAGAGACAGACCCTCTGCTGCTGCTGCTCCTCGTCTCCTGATTGGTTGAAGCCCGCGTCAAAGCTTCAAAAGCTCAGCTTTGCTCAGCTTCGGCGTCAAAGGGATTGTTGTGATACGCGAGCGTTTCGCGCGTCAAAAGCTTCAAGTGAGCGCGTAGTACGCGCGACTCTTGAAGCTTTTGACGCGCGTCAAGTGACGCCGGGGCTCTCGGCTTCACCTGACGCGCTTCACCATTCACTTTCAATGGAAACCTGACGCTTTTGACGCCGAAGTTAAGTCCGGTGTGAACGCCCCTTAAGGAGTGGAGCTGTTTATGTATCTCTTTGCTATCTGCAAAGCGGCAGGGAATTTCAAATGATCCAAGAGGACTTGGTATTTGTAATCCTCAGTTAGATGGCTGTGGGGGCTGAGCACACTGTCTAAACCTTTTTTGAGTAACAGAAAATCACTCTCCTTCCCTGAACTGAATGCAGAAAGCTTAGGCTTGGGGATGCCGTATGAGGAGGCAATAGCCATTTCCACCATGCTAGGGACATTAGCACTGACAGGGGGAGGAGCTAAATATGGCTGGCTGACAGGTGCTGTAGGCATACGAGTACTGTTTGGAGTATATGCATTGGGATACGCATACTGCTGTCTACTATGTGGATAATAGACAGGTGCACTATATGGATGTGAGGGAGCAGGTGCACTGTAGGGCGTGCCTTGAGGAGCAACTACATGCGGTGCAACTACACTTCTGTGTGAGGTGTCGTACAGAGGGGGCAACAGAGCTGCTTGAGCGGGATCTACTGGAGGAGGAGGCGGTGGCCAGTACTCACCGGTCTCTGCTCCCTGGACTATACCTGCTGTGTAGTTTGGAGGCACTGCTGGTAGTAAAGGAGCTGTCACTGGTGCTGAAACACTAGCTTGCCCTGTCGGGGGAGGATGCTGCACAGGAGCTATGGGGGAAGAATGCCCTGAACGTTCTGATGCATGCCATGACTGAAGAGGCTGGAGCTGTGGCATGCTGCTGTACTGCTGTTGCTGTTCCTGGGCATATCTATGCTTGGCAGGTTGGGCGCTTTGTGTCAGCCGAACGTTGCTCATTTCCGTCTGAAGTTCCCTCATTTGTCGACCGAGTGCCTGATAAGCTGACTCCAAATGCTGCATTCTGTCTTCATCATCATCATGAGAGGATGAAGTTGACCAGCTCTCGGGGCTTTGTGGTGGACGTTGGAATGAAAAGCCAACCTCATAGTCCTCCAGATGTCCGGGAATGCGACGCACTCTGCTGGGACGGGGACTGTGTAGTGGCTGCTCATCATAAAAGTCTCTGGATGCGGCCATGACGCAGCTCTTGGACATCCGGCTCGAAGGACCACTTGTAAAAGATTATATTGTATTTGAATGCTGGGGTCCAAAAGTCCAGCCTAAGTCTTCGGCAAGAAAGACTGCAGCAGATCCAGAATAGTAGAATGAAAGGTTTATTGCAGCTTGAACAGGTTGGGATGGATGCGTGAAACAAGAGCGTGTGTGTGTGTGTGTGGTTATATAGTCATTAAACGCACAACAACACGATGTGAGAAAGCTAAGAGAGAGCACGCTCTTCACTCGTTGCCCTCCTACAGCAGACTGCCCACCTGGACTCCTGTGCGCATGTCAGTGAGGGGCGAACTATTCTTAAAGGTACAGTGTCATTGAAGCAGGGAAATTTGCACACTCATGTTATTGGTTGAGTTTGAGTCACAGTCTTCTCAAAGCAACCGTCTCACTCTCTCCTCCAGGGGTTTCGTCCCTCGGCTTCAGTCTGGACTCCGCCCTCAGACCCGGACTTCCTCACCCCAGTGCATTTTGGGAAACGGCCTCCAGCCTGAGTGGATCGTGTCCGATGCCCTCTCATAATGGTGAGTTAATGATAAGTTAAGATGTTTTGACACTTTCAACTCATTTAATTTCAATGTCATTGTGTACAACTCTAAATTACAACAAAACTGAGGCTGTAGACCCAGGACTGAGGCTGTAGATCCAGGACTGAGGTTGTAGACCCAGGACTGAGGCTGTAGACCCAGGACTGAGGCTGTAATGTGTGAAACTGAATAGGTTGAATGCTTATAATGAATTAAACTCTCAGATTTACTGCTCGAAACACAACGTCTGAGAGAAGTGTTCCTATTGGTCCAAACCCAGCTGAAGGAGGCGGAGCTAAAGTCACATCAGTGGGCCGAGCTGTGCCGCCGCAGCCAATCAGAGGTCTGCGCTCAGAGACAGGAAGTGATACGGCTGCAAGAAGAAGTGAGGGAGCACAAAGAGATACAGCGACACCTGCAGGCCACACACAGGTACTGCAGGGGGCGGTAGAGCAGCTGTTTGAACCGGACATGTGTCAGGAGTGAATGAATAGGATTATGAATGAAGTGGCTAAACCTTTGTCCAGACCTCAAGGATCCCTCAGACCAGACCAGAGACCAGAGTCTGAGGGACTGGAGCCGGACCCTGCTCTTCCAACAGAAGAGAAGAGGCAGAACGAGCAGGTGAAAAAACATGGGACCAAACACTTACGAAGACCTGAGCCTGGCCTAGACCCAGACCCGGACATGAGCCTGGCCCTGATGCTGACCCAGAACCAGACCCAGACCCAGACCCAGACCTAGACCTAGACCCGGAACAAGACTCTGACTCTGACCAAGACCTAGACCTAGACCTAGACCTAGACCTAGACTCAGACCAAGACTCTGACTCCGACTCAGACCAAGTAACACGTCTCACTGAAACACGTCTTTACTGAAACGTCTCACTGAAACACGTCTCACTGAAACACGTCTTTACTGAAACGTCTCACTGAAACACGTCTCACTGAAACACGTCTTTACTGAAACGTCTCACTGAAACACGTCTCACTGAAACGTCTCACTGAAACACGTCTCACTGAAACGTCTCACTGAAACACGTCTCACTGAAACGTCTCACTGAAACGTCTCACTGAAACACGTCTCACTGAAACGTCTTACTGAAACGTCTCACTGAAACACGTCTCACTGAAACACGTCTCACTGAAACACGTCTCACTGAAACGTCTCACTGAAACGTCTCACTGAAACACGTCTCACTGAAACACGTCTCACTGAAACGTCTCACTGAAACACGTCTCACTGAAACGTCTTACTGAAACGTCTCACTGAAACACGTCTCACTGAAACACGTCTCACTGAAACACGTCTCACTGAAAACGTCTCACTGAAACACGTCTCACTGAAACACGTCTCACTGAAACACGTCTCACTGAAACACGTCTCACTGAAACACGTCTCACTGAAACACGTCTCACTGAAAACGTCTCACTGAAACACGTCTCACTGAAACACGTCTCACTGAAACGTCTCACTGAAACACGTCTCACTGAAACACGTCTCACTGAAACACGTCTCACTGAAACACGTCTCACTGAAACACGTCTCACTGAAACGTCTCACTGAAACACGTCTCACTGAAACGTCTCATTGAAACGTCTCACTGAAACGTCTCACTGAAACGTCTCACTGAAACGTCTCACTAAAACACGTCTCACTGAAACACGTCTCACTGAAACACGTCTCACTGAAACACGTCTCACTGAAACACGTCTCACTGAAACACGTCTCACTGAAACACGTCTCACTGAAACGTCTCACTGAAACACGTCTCACTGAAACACGTCTCACTGAAACACGTCTCACTGAAACGTCTCACTGAAACACGTCTCACTGAAACACGTCTCACTGAAACACGTCTCACTGACACGTCTCACTGAAACACGTCTCACTGAAACACGTCTCACTGAAACACGTCTCACTGAAACACGTCTCACTTAAACACGTCTCACTGAAACGTCTCACTGAAACACGTCTCACTGAAACACGTCTCACTGAAACACGTCTCACTTAAACACGTCTCACTGAAACGTCTCACTGAAACACGTCTCACTGAAACACGTCTCACTGAAACACGTCTCACTGAAACACGTCTCACTGACACGTCTCACTGACACGTCTCACTGAAACACGTCTCACTGAAACACGTCTCACTGAAACACGTCTCACTGAAACACGTCTCACTGAAACACCATCCATCCATCCATCCATTTTCTTCCCCTTAATCCATTTCATGGTCGGGGGTGGCAGTCAGAGCTGCACCCAGTACACTTAGCACCAGCCCCTCACTGATCCTCCTGCAGGTGGTGAGTCCACAGGAGCTGAGATCTTTCAGTTGGAGCTTCAGGCAAAGTGGGGTTAAGTGTCTTGCCCAAGGACACAACGACAGCAGACATCAGTGGGAGTCGTGGAGTAGGTCTTACGGTGGGATTGAACCCACGACCTTCAGGCTCTAAGGCCAATGCTCTACCAACTGAGCTACTGTCGTCCCACAGTAACACAGAACACAGAAACACGTGTCAGGATTTAAGCAGACAGAGACGGATCGTGGTGTGCCAAACTCTGGAAGTTTATTTAAGTTTCTCTCAAGTTCCACTGTTTTACTCTGTTTCTTTCCCTCAGACAGAATAAAGGCAGTACACAGTTTATATAGTCATTGTCACGTCACACATCGAAAGACATACGTGTCACAAAGAGACAGTCAAATCATAGTCATAACATGGAGTCCTTGTAGAGTCCTTGTACAGTCCTGCACGTAGGCCATATTGCTATCTAATACTAATACCCTCCCCTTTGATCACATAATCACATGTGATCACTCAAATCGATCAATCAATAAAGTGGAAAAAGAAAAAAATTCTAAAAAAAAAACTTTACAAAATTATTAAAAAACAAAGAAAATGTATGCATTAAACTCATAATCATCAAATCAATATCAGTGGATTTTATCCTCTATCCTGGGAAAAAAACAAACAAACAAAAAACAAACAAAAATAAAAACAAACAAACACTATTGGACACACAAGAACTCAGCAGATTCAGTCAAAACACAGACAAAAACGAGCTGAGTCTCAATTTTGAAGCTAATTTAACTTTTCTTACTCTATACTTTTATTCTAATGCTAATTGTTTACACTTCACTCCACTTATTTCACTGTATTATTTTCACTTTTTAATCTTAGACTGTGTACTTTACTCTCTATTCACTATAGTTTAAAACTATTCTAATCTATTTACATAAATCTCTCTGTTCTGTGGTTTACACTCTAATTATCAGTGGCATTTATCAGTGGGATTTTGCTCTATGTCTATTCTCATTCTCAGGAATAAAACTGTGAACACAGTAAGGCAAATGGTCAACATTTACACTTCTATAGTGGTCAGTGATTTATTACTTTTTATTATCTAAAGATATTATTGTCAGGCAGTTTGGGATGAATGAACATCATTAATCAAATTAGTATTATCCTTACAAGAGCTAATCTATTTTAGCAGGTTTGGGGTTGGGGTCAGTTATTATACAATGGTGTTTGTGCTGGAAACTTCTCAATATCTAAATATCTACTATTTTAACTCTTATGTGGAAATGTGTTTATGAACAACAAAGGAAGTCAAATTCTACTCTTTCTACTACTACTAAAAACGCTACAATACTAATACTTTATCATTTTAAAACATTTTAACAGTTGCTCAGTCTCCCAGACTAAAAAAGTCAAAGTTTTTGTCTGTCAGATGTCTGAATACTTAACATGTATATTGCATTTGGTCACAGGTTCTGGTTGTAGCAATAGCATCGGCAATAGACGTTTTCATTGGCTGGTTCTTGTTCTGCAAATGTCTGTGTCCAATAGATCATCAGATGTCCAGAAGCTAGGGACAAACAAAAACAAAAGAAAGAATCATGAGTATCTGTCTCATTTAGCACTCATCTATGTATGATTTCAAAAATATAAACATCACTCCCCAGTTTTTTCTCTCTCAGATCCTCAGGTCCTCAGGGTCCCCTGAGGGTGAGTCTCAGTCGTCATCAGGTCAGGTCATAGAGAGATGTCATCTTGGACATCAGTAGGGTCCAAGCCATGGTTCTGGTCTCTCCAGTTGGACATCGGATCTCCAGATACAGTCTTTTCAGTTGAAGCACATCAGGTCATTTGCGATGCACTTCTGGTCAATGGTGCAGTGTCTCAGTTCCTGTACACAGCTTGTTATGCAGTAGTTACTCTCTATGGTTAGTCACTTTGATTCTACTTTAACACAATTTCTATTCATGCTGTTGCTAATGTCCCTCAGACAAAAAGCAAGCGCAGTTTACTTCTCTAATTTGTATTTTTATCAGATCTAATTCTCATCAATGTAATTACTTCACACAGTACAAAATCAACAAATCAAAAGTGTCAGGACAGACGTCAATTAAGTCCATGACAATATAGAATTCAAATGAACATTTCTGGTCTCAAAAAATACTGATTCAACTAAAGATTCAAGTGATAGACAATTAAAAATATGTGTTTACATTGGAGTAAACTTTTAAAATGCTTTTTTCCTCATGTTCTACTTTTTCATGTATCTATATGTAAATGTGAATGTGTGTGTATGTGTGTATGTGTGTGTATGTGAATTTTGGGGTTGTTTCTCAAGACTCCTCGAACCACCTGTAGGTGTCAAAGGTCACACTGTGGTGATGCAAACCAACTGGACACACTCTCAACTCTCATTCAGGTCTTTCCCTGATGCTCCACCCATCACGTCTCCAGATACCTCTCTTTCATGGCCCCGGTCTCTCTCACTCCCACTTACTTCTGTAGTGGGGGGAGGGGCAAGGAGGTGGCATTTCCCTTTGCTCTTTGATCTGTGACCTGTGGCTGGGTGGGCTTTGCGCTGTCCAGTGTCCAGCAGTCCAGTGACCCTGTACAGTGTGTGCTCTTGGTTCTGGAAAACAACCTTATAGTCAAATTAAAAACAACAGAGATTGTGAATGAGCTTGTTTTTCTCTCTGAAGTCAAAACAATTTGAGCGCTCTGGGTTTTCCCAAGCGCTATGTAAATAAAAGATTACTTATTATCTTACTAATGATGACATTTAAAACCAGAAACTCTCAATATAAAAAAACAAGACTCAAATCTCTTAAACCTTAGACCAAGACTCTGACTCCGACTCAGACCAAGTAACACGTCTCACTGAAACACGTCTTTACTGAAACGTCTCACTGAAACACGTCTCACTGAAACACGTCTTTACTGAAACGTCTCACTGAAACACGTCTCACTGAAACGTCTCACTGAAACACGTCTCACTGAAACGTCTCACTGAAACGTCTCACTGAAACACGTCTCACTGAAACGTCTTACTGAAACGTCTCACTGAAACACGTCTCACTGAAACACGTCTCACTGAAACGTCTCACTGAAACACGTCTCACTGAAACACGTCTCACTGAAACACGTCTCACTGAAACACGTCTCACTGAAACGTCTTACTGAAACACGTCTCACTGAAACACGTCTCACTGAAACACGTCTCACTGAAACACGTCTCACTGAAACACGTCTCACTGAAACACGTCTCACTGACACGTCTCACTGAAACACGTCTCACTGAAACACGTCTCACTGAAACACGTCTCACTGAAACGTCTCACTGAAACACGTCTCACTGAAACACGTCTCACTGAAACACGTCTCACTGAAACGTCTTACTGAAACACGTCTCACTGAAACACGTCTCACTGAAACACGTCTCACTGA